TAATTTTTGGAGCGTGACACCCCACATGATATAATGGAAAGAAAATATTATAAGAGTACGCCAAAGTGTTAATATGGCTTGATAAGAAAGAAAAAAGATTATTTGAAATTTTTATGGCCAAAAGATAATGGTAAATAATCTTAATAACTCTCATAGTTAATCTCTCCGCAGTTGAAGGTATATAATGGTCTTAGATTAATTTGCATAAAACTTGAGATAAACCATATTATTTGTGACATATGAATATTAGAATTGTTTAGACTTATTATATTATATTTAGATAAATGGTAATGTGTTGAAGTGTTAATATTTTTCAAATAATTTTTCAATTAAGATTTATTTCATCTTATTATTATTTATGAATTGTCAAGAAACCTACGTTTTATTTCCTTACATCTATTTTATGTCATCATGTTTATAAAAATGTCAAAATTATGTTTGGTTCAATGAAAATATGAATGGAAAATAATGTTTGTACTCCTAAGAAAAAATAATAAAATAAAAAATGATTTTTTTTGAATCCCGGTAAGAAAAAGTATTTTTATTTAATATCTGACTGTGTCTCGAACAGGATTACATCTAATAAGAGAATAGTGATAAGCAATTAAAAAAATTGATTACGATTATGATAATTATGAATATTGCATAAATGAACTACTCCTTCGTATGCTTTCTTATCCAACGACCCGCAGTCTCCTTTAGCAAACCCAATGTGTTAATGTCATCGTAGACACAGTGACATGAATGACGTAAATGCCTGGACTGGCATTTTTTGTGAAAGTGATAGAGTGAGAAATTATATGAACTTCGCCCGGTTTCAAAAGGCATGTGCTGTTGATGTCATCTTAGACATGATGACTTGAAGATTTTATAGGAACTTTTGAAAAAATATAAATAAAATACTATCATAAAATATTTTCAATTTTTATCATCAAATTTCAAAGATTTTAAGTATGTAATTTTTTTAAGAGTTTATGTCATATATATATATAGATATTCTTACAATAACTTTTTTTCGTAAATAAAAATAAACGAAATAACAAAGTAATTTATTTTCATTGAATAAATCTATAAGAGGAGAATGGAAGAAAATATGAACCTAATGGATGGAATAATGTTGAAAGATATCTTTGAGCTTGCAACTTGACTAGGTGAACTCCTTACAAGTTTTCACAGGCCTGCCGGTTCACATATTGTGGATAAATTTGAAAAATCATTTTAATGCATTAGGTTCCTATAAAATGGATGGCTTCTATTTCTTTTTCAGTTGAACAACTTGTTCAAAGACTTTTTCCTGATGTAATGCACATTAAACCCAAGAGCAAGAAGAACAAAATAGGCAACTCTCAACGCGGAGGAGTTTTTTTTTTAAATAAAAATTATAGAATATTGATTATTTTATATTTTCTTTATTATTATATTTTTCTTTATTGATTTTATAAATATAAAAAAGAAATCATTAATCAACGAAGTCAGCTCGATCAAGTCTTCCTTCGTCCGTTATATATAAATAAAATTTTGATAGAATGACAGTTAAATCGTTAATATTAAATTAATAATAATTAGTTCCCCAATAAAATTTTTGAAAAATAAGTTAAAATATCAATCTAAATAAATGTAAATCTTGAAGTTTTAATTGCAAATATGTAACTCTTAAATTGTAATAGGAATTGTTATTTGTAACTTTTTAAATTGATATTTATAACTTATTATTTTTTAGAAAATTTTGTCAGAAATATAACTATCCTTAATTCAAATTTTAGTGTCAATTCTGAAAATATACTAAAAGAAAATACTCTCACTGTCTCAAATTATAAGGTACTTTTAAAGGAGTTTCTCTCTCTTAAATATAAGACACTTTGAGTAGATTAAAATTTTATTAAATACATCAATTCCCATATCACCTTTCTCTCTCTATAATTAATTTTTGTCTCTTCTCTTTTCAATATATTAAATGATGGACATTTTTAAAAGTTTATATTTTTGTTTGAGAAAGATAAGATTGTTATGTGTATTTAATGAGGTTTATTGGTATGTGAGATTTTGTCTAAAAGTGTATTATAATTTGAGATGGAGGGAGCATCAATTATGATGTCTATTGCAGAAAGAACTAATGCCATAATAAAAATGATTATTTAAGTTAAAGAGATCCAAGTGAAGCCTCTAATACTTAAGTTTTACATGCTTTAGTATTTTTTTATGAGAAACAGAAAATTAATGTATAATCATTAAAAGGATTAAAGTACAGTTATATATATACTGTTTGTCAGGAACAATAAATTACTAAACGTGCCAGAGACGCTGAGTCTCAATTGATGACAAAGGGTTCTCGAGCTCCTTTATCATAATTTACCTGAATGCAAAAGATATGCAAGGCTTAGTAGAACAAGTGCTTAATTAATACTAAAGGATTATAAAGCGTAAATGATTACAAGTCTAAAATGAAAATAAAAGCTATAAGTAAAAACTATATGATAAATCTAAGAGTTCTGGGTGCAAAGTGTAAGTCTTTGGAGTAATGTTTGTGTCTTTCCTTGGTTTGATCTCCTATTTATAATGACAGAGCTACAATAGTTTTTCCCTTGGAATCTAGAACGTACTCGTGAAATATTAGGCATTGGCTGGGCACGGTCTACTTCAGAGTGTGTTTTATTGTTTAGTTGTTAGCTCATGTCTCCGAGATATTTGGTACTAATGGCCATGTCTTCGCAAGATTCAGGGCTACATGAGATTGTGGTTCTATGTATCAACGATCTAAGGAGCAAGTCCACAACTGACAGGATTTCAATGTGCTTATTTGGCCGAGACTTTCTCTGAGATTTGGGCTAGTCCTTTTGTTTAGAATATTGATTGGGCTTGACTTTTCAGTAACTTAGCACATATGAGGGTATGGCTTTTGATAGGTGACGTTTTAATTTAAGCCCAAACATACACTTTAGAGAAAAACAAAAAGTAGAGAAATAGTCATCATGCAAGATATTAATGTCAAATAAGTAGTCAAAAGATTATTTTTTTAAAACTGGAAAAAAAAGACCATGATCCTTGAATTTAATTTTAGAATGTTGTGGTCCTCAATCATTATTACAAATAATACAATGGGGAAAATTTACCAAAAGAGTCTCATTCAGTCATTCAAAGCATAAAACCACGGTACCAACATATATGAGGTATCTAATTAAGTTGAGCAAATTAACCGTTGGCTATTCTTTTGCCTATAATTTGTTAAAAAATCCTACTTATCAGATTTTTTTTAACAACTTATTCAACGATTTGATTAATTCATACGTTACAATATATTATTATATGTCAGTGAGATTGAAAACGTATGAACAACTTGTACAAAGACTTTTTCTTGTGATTTGATACAAATTAAATTGTATGAAAGGAACCTCACATGATTACAAAGAGTGAATGCATCATTTTCTACAAATGATTTGGACAATTTTCTTAAAAAAATTAAGGAAGACTAAAAACACTAGTCTCTACCAACTTAGAAAAATTGAAATGACTCCAAAGGGTATAAACAAACACATCGTCAAGCACTCTTTAATAAGGGTTAAATGAAAAATCAATCCTTAAACTATTAAAAAGAGTTTTTAAGCTCTTTTTTTTTTGCAATATTCCCCTTCAACTATTAAAAAGAGAGTGATATTACCCTATCGTTAACAAATATAAATTATGACTGTTAGTTGACAAAAATATTACAGAAAAATATCTAAAAAATTATAGAAAATGATTAATAAAATTTTTATGGTCTTTTCTATAATTTTTGGGTCCTTCTCTGTAATTTGTTGTTATGTTTTGTAATTTTTTTAGTCATTTTCAACAATTTTCTAGTAAACTAATTGTAAAAAAATAACTTTTGTTAAAAGAAAACATTGTATAAAAAATAAGTTTAGGATACTAGGCGCTCTCGGACCTAAATTTAAGGGTGAAATTATATTTTAATTCTTTTAATAAATTTAATCCTTTTGAGTAATGCATGAGTTGAGAAAATTATGATAAAAAAGATACAAGATATTAATTGGATTTAAGGGGTTTGTTAACATTGATATTATAGAGGAAAAAAAGATGGATTTCTTTTTCCCCCTGTTTAACCAATATGTAGAATTTTCTTCACACTATCATATAAATGACCCACAAATAAAGAAAAAATATAATGCTGAAAAAGGTTAAGAACCTTGGTGGTTTCTTTCTTACTTGGCTACAAAGTCTTGTCCATAATATAGACAAATATTAACCAAATAATTTTACACGCTTTCGTAGGGTTCACATATTGCGGATAAATTTTTCAATTTGAAATCATTTTAATGCAGGTTCCTGCAAAAATAGATGGATTCTATTTTTTGTTTCACTTGACTTGGAAAATTTTCGTGTAATTAATGTTAATTGATGTTTAAGACTTTTCTTTATGATGTGACGGGTGTGAAATTGAAATGCATGATATATCGTTCGATTACAAAATAAAGGATCAATGAAATATGAACACTGAAATTAAATTGTTATCCACTTTGGCCAAAAAAAAAAAAAGAAATCATAAGAAATTGTTGTCCACATGACTTGAATAATTGAAAACGTATGAACAACTTGTAAAAGATTTTTCCTTGTGATGTGATACACATTAAATTGTATTAAAGGAACCTCAAATGATTAAAAAAAAGTAAACACATCATTTTCTACAAATAATTTGGACAATTTTTTTAAAAAATAAGGAAGACTAAAAGGACTAGTCCCTACCAACTTAAAAAAATATTGAAATGATCCCAAGAGTATTAAAAGACACATCGGTTGTCACACCCCAATACTAAAAGTATGGTTGGCATGGAATATGAGATAACCTCACATTATATAAGTCTTAATTAAGCAAACATTAAGCTAACTTATCAATATATAGTTTTTATATATGTTTATAAAGGTCGTAAAGTCTTAAATATTTTGTAGAAATTTTGGTAGAATCTTACTTGTAATTTGTACCTCCTAAAATTCCTACAATAGTGAAACCAGTCAATCAATCTTGTAAAGGAGACTAGACTAGCTCCACACCAGCAAATTACATACCACCAAAATAAAATTTGAACTTAATTACAGTATACGTGAAGCACTAACTATCATTATATAATATAATGAATGTTTACATTAAAAAAAATGAGTAAACCATGCTTCCATCATCCAAAAAGCGATAAAGTCCCTTGATGATTAGGAGGAGATACATGGTCAATTACATTATCTAAGATCAAAGAAATTTTTTAATGAGTGGTGTCCTGATCAAAATTATAGACAACACATGTAAAGGTAGTAATTAATAAAATTTAGTTTAAAATAAATCAATGGAATATTAAACACAAATTTTAACTAACAATGAATGTTTTTTTTACATCCAATCTAAGAGGGAATTTACAATATAAAATCATACATGATCAATCAACAGTTTATTTAATAAAATAAATTTAAAAATAATAATTTTCAAAATTTTACATTTTAGGGGGATTTAATTAGAACGATTAACAAGTGTGGATACAATCCACAAGGATAAGTAACTAACAAGTATGGCACGAAGTCACGAAAACAAGTGCAAGTATAAAGCCCACAAAAATAAGTGTAAGTACTATACTCACGAATAACCATCCATTCATTCCACGCATATTGGCCATCGCACGGGGCTAGCACCTTCTAAGTATCTTACTAGCTTGGTATACTATGGCGTGCTAAGGGCCAACAGAATTGATTTTAGCATCTAGTGTTCTGAACTCAGTCATCCTAGTTAAATCGAGCATGCATAGAGTTGAAACATTCATTGAAAACCTTTCTTTTCAAAACATAATATTCAACTATCGAATTTTCTTTTCAACTTTTTCCATGCATGAAACACCATATTAATAACTATAACATAAATAATAAAATTTAAACAATAGAAATGTTTAGAATAAACATTCAGTTAATAATACACTGGATCCAAATATTCCTTGAAAATAACATAATTCTTAACAATTCTAAAGCAGATTCCATAATAAATCAATTAATATAAAATTAAAGTAAGTAAAAAGGATTATATGAATAATAAAAATTGAATTGACAAGAACATTTATACAACTTATAAAAGAATAACGTAAAAATTTAAATAAAGAAGTTTTATAACCACTTTGCAAAAAAATTATTGGGACACTACCCACTTACCTTACACACATATCCAAGTATCTCTATGGCTTGCTCCCTTTTTAAGCCTCTTACTTATACTCCCATAATGCCACTAATTAATTACCTAATCAAACAAACAAACCAACAAGCTAATAATATTAAACTTCCCGTACTATAACCCAATCTATTTATGTTTCATTTAAATATTCACAAGACTTTTCAAAACCTTTTTTTCTTAAATCAACTGTCTCAAACTGCGCTCTCTTCCAAATTCTTTAAATTCAATAATAATAATTTCCATAATTTCCTTTAACATAAAACATAAGAAGCCAAATTAAACTCATACTTTTTTAAAATTTCACAATGTGCTACAAGCTACAAGTTCGTTTAATCTATTTATTTTTAAATATTTCAACTAACAATATTGTGAGTGCATCAAGGTTCAATTTACAACAAGCATTCAATAAGGTCTTTAATATTTCCCCAGTCCAATTCCAATCCTTAAAACTTTTAATAAGCACTTTCTGCACATTTCAATTTAAATTAAGGAACTAGCATCTTGGTTTAAAACAGACAACCACACCTTCATATCCAAATATAAATTCTTAAAATTTTCTCATTATCAATATAAACTTTTAAACCAGAATATAAATTCCCTCCTTCTCTGTCAATGAATTACAATTTAATTTGAATAATCACTTAACACCTTACTCTTCTCTCAAGCACTTAAGCAACCATTTTGAGAGCATTCAAATATTACAAAATCCAAATTCCATTAGTACTGGTTTATCTTCGTCATTTAATTCCTAAGTCAAACTCCCTTACTCTACTCAAACATCATCAATAATACAAATTATTACTAAAATAAATCCCAACCTAACCTTTAAATCACATCTAGTAAAATATTAAAATTAACAACCAAAAGCTTGGGATTTTCTATAGGCATTACACTTGCACATGTTCCTCCAAAATAAAAATTTAACAACCTTCATTCCTTAAATTCTTCTCTCAAGCATTTTAACAACACCTTGAGGGCTTTCTCCATTAACTAAGTCATAAGAAAAGCATCCAAGAAAGTTCAACATCTTCCAAGATTTAATTTTATAATTAAAGTCCAGCTCAACCTCTTAACTAAATAACTTCTAGCACTAACCAAAGTAACACCTTAATCCTTCTTAAAAACACAACAGCAGCAATGAAAAACAGGGATTATACCAATTGGCCAAAGGAAGGACAGGATGATTCGGAGCTGTCATATAACTTGAAGAGGAAGGAGAAAATCAGCCACTCACCTCAAACGAAATTTGCAATACCCATCACTAAAAATCAACAAGTGACCGACGCTGCAGCAGGAGAAGAAAAAGAGCTTCAGCTCGCTACACAAACGAGAAGGTGGAAGACCATCAATTTTTTTTCCCCCAACAAAAGAAGGAATCGAGCTACCACACACACACACACAACTTTTTGACAGAAAGAGACGAACAGCAGAGGGGAAAGAAGAGACAACCCAGCACACGTTCATCCCATACCACTGATGGAACACGGTATGACAGCAACCAGAAACAGGGGATGAGAGACAATACCAATTCTCGGTAGATCTTCAGTGGAGAAGAAATAAGCAGGTCACAAAAAGAGTAGACGAGAAAGGAGACAAGGGAAGAGCTTCAATCACAGCTCCATTTGAACAGACGAACAGACGGAAAGAGAAAAGAATAGAAAGACCTGAATCACTCATCTCAGCGGCGGACGAACAGCAGAAAGAATGGGAAGATGGCAAGCCGCCGGTGATGAGGAAAGAAATGGGGAATGACGGCGAGGAGGAGCTGAACAGAGAACGCACGGAAGATCTCTCTAGGTCTTGCAGATTCTGGAGTTCGAACGGCAGAGGAGTAAGAGGAAATATCTTGACATTAGAAAATTGAGAAACTACAAAAAAGGGCACAACGCAAAATTATAATTCAGAACATAAGCAAATTACAAAAAAAAGTACAAATTTTTCTATAATTTATAAAAATAAATAAAAAATAAACTTTTCATAAATACTTACTAGCATAAATTTTACGAAACTACCACTTTCTATTTACTATAAAACTTATATAAAAAAATATTCATTAGGAGCAAAATTTTGTTAGATTTAAAATTTAAAATTATTACATCATCATGCACTTTTTAATAAATTTAATATGGAAGAATGAGCTCACTTATAACAAGGAAACAAAAGTCTTTTTATTAAATCTGTTTTCTACAATTTTATAATTTTATAATAATAAAAAGTCATTTTATTATGTATCTGTGTAAAATATGTAAGAATTGACCTCCTAGACAATAAATGATTGCAAGAAGGTATATCATGAAATTTCAAAATATAATGGTGTGATGTCAACATAATCTATCTTTTCAATAATTAGTTGTTGAAGGCTCAATAGATTTATCGGATTGGAGTTGAATGTTTCTTTCAAAATTCTAATGTTAAATGAGTAACGAATGAACTTTGTAATAATTGATTATAGAGTTAAGGTACATTTTTACTCTTAAAGTATTTGTTTAGGAAAGCTAGGCACCCTATACTGATAAATGGGAAAATTTCTCCCTGAACTATTTTTTCGAGAGGCAAAAAACTCTTATTAGTTAGCTGTTAATTTTGCTATTTTCTACTGGCATGAGACCCATGCACAGTGATAGGCAGAACTCTAATCATATCCTTTGATGTTAATTTATCCTTGAATTTTTTTTAAGGAACGTTGGCCACCTTAAAGTTTTTCTCTAGAAGTGCTGAGTATCCTGAAGTTTTGTTAAAATAAAATTTAATAAATATTACTAAAATATTTAATATTTTAAATATTAATTAAATATTATTATTTATAAAAAGTCACCTAAAATTTGTAAATTACTTTTTAAAATATTAACAGCTCAAATTAATTTTTTTCATAAATTTATAGATGACTTGTTACTTTTTATATATCAATCTTCGAGTTTTTCTTTGAGATAGTGTTCAAATCATTGTATCTTTCATGCAGGTAGAAACTTGTTTATAAATTTAAAATCTGATTTCAAATTGAAATCCTTAAAATACAGCTGTTTTAAATGATATAATGAGATGTCTTATTAAATTATAGCAAATTAACGGCGACCAATTAATCAACCATTTAATTAACTCATCATATGTTATTGTTATTACATATATCTGTAAAATACATTGACGTTCCTTCTTCAATTATGCTGAAATTATATAGACTTTATTTTTTAAAGAATATTATGTTAAAATTTCTGAAATTCTTTTATTATTAAATATTTATGTTAAAATAATTTAATGGTGTTTGGATGCATGGATATTTGGATTTGTTGAACTATATATTTTGATAATAACAAAACGTCATATATATTAACAAAATGAGAAAACTTAGCATCAGAGGTTTATTTATTTTGTTCTTCTCTTTGATTCAATTGTAAAAACTAATAAGAGCTATCACATGTTTTGAAAAGGGTAAGAATGCATTATATTAGAACCAACCTTAAGCTTATAAGTTCATTGAACTTTAGTGTTAATGTCACATCTCAAAATATAGGAGTAACCGGCATGAGATATGTGTACAAAACACATTCCTTAAGCCTTAGTTCAAGGAAATTTTCTATTACTTAATTATATTTATATTGGAATTAGGAAATCTGGACAACACATCCCTTATCAGTATGGCTTCCCAAAAATCCTACAATACAAATTTTACCAGTAGAATATCACTAAACTCAGGATAGCACAGCTCCATCCAGCCCGTAGACAGAGTATATAACCAAATAAGGATCCTAACTATAGCACATGTGGAGCACCTAACCATATTTTTTTAAGACATAATACACAAATTTCATAATTGCATCAAAAAAGAGATATTTACAAAACAACCTCTACCCTACTCCACAAAAAAATCTCTTCAGTAATCAACAGGACGTACAATATCAGTTACATTATTTGAGATCAAAAATAATTTTTTAGTAAATAACATCCCAATTATGATTGATAGAAATAATAGAAAGTATACCATATTATTATATATATAATAAAAAAAAAGGAAGAAAGAGGTAGTAGGATGATGGGACCCACATTATTTTTTAAAAAAAGCCAACAAAGCCTTTTGGCTTTTCATTTCTCTTCTTCCTTTTTGTTTCTGCATCCGTGCACAAAGAGCGAGCGACGCCATGACTGACTGGAGCTGATTTAGAAGGTGAAGTTCTATAATAGGATACTTCATATGAGATTTGACTAGGTAAGTGTTCTAAATATTTTTCTTAGTCGTTTTTCCTTTTAAGTTGCAAATTTTGAGATTTTGAAAAGCTTAAGGTTTGAAAGAGAGATAAATTTTTGATGAGTAACTTTGGTTATTGAGGTTGTTGGTAGTGTAATAAATTTTACAATATTATTTTATTGATAGGATTAGAATTTGAGGCCTTTGAGTTTATCCCTAGATCTATATGGGTAGTTTTTTGATTAAATTTGAAAATATAGATTGATTTGTTGATATTTAGATGATTATTTGAGATGAAAAATAAACTATTATAGTTATAAAATAATGATTCCAGGCTTGAGGTCAAGTTTTCAATTTTTGGGTATTTTTATGTGCAAATTTTTGGAATAAAAAGGGAAATTTTGATGTTAGAAAATTATTTGATTGATGTTTTTAGCCAAATTTCAATGAAATTATGGTGAAGGATGCTATTGAACTAAATAGATAGGTTCAAATATATTAAATTAAATTTTAAAACTCAAAAGGCTAAGACTAAGGTCTTAAAAAATGAAATAAAAAAAATAAATACTTAGGTGTTAGAGTGTGAGTAAAAATTATGTTAATAATATTATTGACATATTGGGATATGATCAATTGTAGATTAATTTTTTTTTAACACCATTCAAGCTTTGAAAAGCTTTGGAAGTGTTGTAACTTGAGGGATAACCTTTGACCTCTCAAAGGTTGAGGTAATTGGAAAAAATTTATTTTATATATTTGTATGTTAATTAATTATTTATGATGGTGAAATAAAAGAATATATATATATATATATCTAAATTTTGAAATGGTTGTTTGTAATGCATGTGTGGCTTTATTGAGACCCTATGATTTGTGACTAAGTTAATTGTGACTTGATATGAGTAATGAGATTAATGATTGATGATGATGTGCATACTTTTGATTATAAATTGTGGATTATGTATAATGATGAATTGTATATGAGCATGTTGAGTTTTATATGATGTTAATGTGGTTTTATGTAATAATATAAAAATTGATGCAAGAGGCATGATTGAAATATGATGATCCTTGATACTCATTGAGTAAGAAAATTGATGAGCATGTGGGATAACTGTGAATTATATATGAGTTTTTGAAATGCAGTTTCTCATAAGCATAATTGTATAGCGGGAGTTCACCTTAGTGAAGGAGTTAGCAGTTATGCAAAATTCATATGGTACTTGGCTATTAACCGATAATCCTAGGGGTTATTACTACTACTTCCCTTGTAAGATATTGTAGCATTATTCCTATTAAGAGACTTGACCTTACTGGCCTACCTGGAGTTTTAGGTAGAGCTAGTTTTGGGTATGACAACCCATAATATGTGATTTGGGAGAAACCGTGTTCATAAGTAAGTAAGGTAACCCTAGCCTAGTAGCCCCTCACAATATGATTAAGGCCTTAGGTAGTCTCACTACATGGACAATCCTTTTCGGTTATTGGCCCACAGATTTCATGTCAGAGGAAATAAGAGGGGATATAAGGAAGAGATTGATCATACATATTATTATTATCATACCATTTGAGTGATTGATGGCTATGTTGAGAATATGATTATAATTGTGGAAATGAAAACATGTAGTAATTATGTGAATAATGCATATGTGGCCATTTGTGCAAACTTTGTACTTGACTTTATTCTTGAAATTATTCACATGAGTTAAATGTTAATGTGATTAACATGTTATTAATGTGATTGTTTACATGGTCACCTTAATAAATTTATTAGCCATTTACATTCATGATTAATTATCATGCATTTGTATAACTTAGATGCACCATGGTTACTAAGTGGTTGTACTCACCCCTCTCTTTTAATATATTACAGGAGTTAGCTCATCTGAGAAGAATAGAGGAAAGGAGCATTAGGTCAAGTGATAATAATCACTTCTGAAGGCCTTTCTCTTTTTATTTTGATATGTGTATTTAGTTTATGATATTTCCAACTAGGATAATATATTATTGATCCACTTGCACTATGGGTTTTGTGTTAGGTGGAAATGTATTTTGGGCCCTTGGGAATGTGGTTTGATGCTTGTGTTATATTAATGGGCCAAATATTTGTGCAAGTGAAAATAGTTATTATTTACTTAATTTGAGAACTTGAATGTTGTTATGGTCTCTCCTTGTATTTTTTATGTCCAAAGGTGAGTAGTTGATATTAATTATATGTGAATGAAAAGAAAAATTCATGCACATGATGGGCTATTGATGAATAGATGATATATAGAGTATGATGACTAGGTAATAGTCATTGTGATAAATGTGACGTGATTGAGACCTTGGCCCCTCGCTGCCAATTATGAAAGGTTTTGAGTGACCAAGTGTTATGTTGTAAATATATATATATATATATATTGTGGAGTAAGGCATAGAGAGAAAATAAAGGAGGAAGCTTTTCTCTTATGTTGAGATATGTTTTCTTTATCATGCTTCTGCATATGTTTAGTTGAATGATATAAGTTCTTGAAATATTTTAAATACTTGGGATCTTTGTTTTGAATCGTTTGTGAAAATACATATTAAGAATTTATTTAGGTTAATCTCGTATTAGATAATCCTTTTAGGTTAGTCCTTGATTAACCATAGTT